TCTCTATGTTTGTATGTTTGTTCATGTGTGTTGTGTGTCTTTACATGCATTGCATGTAGCTGGGAATGCATGGTTGTGTGTTATATATTTATGTGTAGGTGTGTATATAGTGACATTGTGTTGTGTGTACAGGTGTGAAGGTGTGCATATATGCTGTGCTGCATGTGTTCATGTGTGTTGTTAGTGTGTATTGTGTGTGTGTGCTGTGTGTTCACATGTGTGGTATGTGAGCATGTGCAGTATCAATGCTTGTTTATGTGTAGTGTTCATGTTGTGTCTATTGGTGTGAATAAGCATGCAGGTGTGTTCACACGTGTAGGTATATTCCTGTGTGTGTTCATGTGTATTATGCATGCACATGTGTGTTTTGTAGGTATGTGTTTTGTGTGTTCATGTGGATTATGTACAGTGTGTTTGTGTTGTGTGTCTGTAGATGCGAATGTGCATGCAGGCTGGTGGTTGTGTGTTGTGTGTCTGTGGGTATATGTCAGAGTGTGAGTGTAGGTCTGTGTGTTCATGCAAGCTGTGTGTGTAATTTGAGTGGTGTAAGTGGTGTGAATGTGTGTGTTCATGTGTATGTGCAGGCGTGTGTAGGCATGTGTGTGTGAACACTCTCCTGTCAGCACCATGGCCTCCCAGCCTGCTGAGGGGCAGCCTACTGAGGCCCCATCTGGTGCCCAGAGTTCCTCCCGTGGCTGTAGCTGCAGCTGCCCTTGCTGCTCCTGCTGCTCTGGGGATGGCCCTGGCCCCAGGACTGGGTGATGTGAAGGCCCTGGGTTGGTGGCAGGGAATGGGGTTTGGGTCAGCAGGCAGGCCCTACAGGAGCAGAGCTGGTTGGGGGACCCCTGCCCACCAGGGCATCTATCAGCCCGGGGCCAAGAATGCAGTCCCAGCTTTGGTTTGTGGTGTGGTGTGTGTGTGTGTGTGTGTGTGTGTGTGTGTGTGTGTCTTGTGATTGGGCCATGGTGGCCATAGAGCCTGGGACCAAGGGGCGAGACTGTGCCCATGACCCAGCATGACAGGACTCCTGCCCCCACATGACCCAGCACAGCAGGCCCCCTGCCCTCCCATGACCCAGCACGGCAGGCCCCCTGTACCCCCCATGACCCAGCACGGTGGGCTCCCTGCCCCCCCACGACCCAGCACAGTGGGCCTCCTGCCCTCCCATGACCCA